TGCCATCTCCCCACAAGAAATACCTGTTGAGGAACTAATCACGGCCATTGAATCCGTGATTAGGAACAACAACTTGATGGAAGGAGAGGCAGAACAGCTCAGAATGGAAATATCAGCAACCCTCTCCAGTGCCAAACCGCCTCCTTCAAACCTCACACCACAGGAAAGGAAAGCTGTAACATCACTCAGCCAGGACCAAAACATCACCATTTTACCAGCTGATAAAGGAAGATGCACAGTAGTCCTCAACACTTCTGATTACCGGGAAAAAATAACTACACTACTGAGCGACAGCAACACCTACGAGACCCTGAAGAGGGACCCAACCAGCACCTATAAAAAGAAAGTCACAGACTAAAAACTTGAAAAGGAGAAAACAATCAATCGATTGTTGTATTATAGATTGTACCCAGGGGAAGCCACTCCCTGTCTTTATGGACTTCCAAAAATCCACAAAGAAGGAACACCACTCAGACCCATCGTCAGCAGCATGAACTCAGTGACATACAATATTGCTAAACATCTGGCTGGTATTTTAGCTCCTCTTGTTGGAAACACACCTCATCACATAAAGGACTCCATTGATTTTACTAACAAAGTTCAACACTTGAAACTAACCCCAGGAGAAACCCTTGTATCGTATGATGTGACTTCTCTTTTCACATGCATACCCATCTCTGAAGCAGTAGAAACCGTCAGAAAACAACTTTTACAAGACAAGGACTTAATCAACAGGACCAGATCTGCGCCCTGTTGGATCTCTGCCTCTCCACCACTTATTTCAAGTTCAATGACAGTTTTTACAGACAGAAGCACGGCTGTGCCATGGGATCTCCAGTGTCACCCATTGTTGCCAATCTGTACATGGAGGAAGTGGAACAGAGAGCCCTACACTCCTATGAGGGAACAACGCCAAGCCATTGGTTCTGATATGTGGATGACACCTGGGTCAAAATCCAAGCCATGGAAATAGAAGCGTTCACCAGACACATCAACTCGGTCGATAACATCAAGTTAACCAGAGAGGATGCAAACGACAACAAGCTGCCTTTTTTGGACTGTTTGGTTCAGATGGAAAGAGAGGACAGTGTATTTATGTTTTTCATTTTCAAAAGAACATTTGTCGCAAACTTTTCCAAATCGATGACTGTTAAAGTACTAACTTACATCACTGTGGTAAAATTGAACATGTGCGCCTGACATTCAAGGTGCATGAACAGAGAGTGCAAGGTGACGAAAGACCCCATGGCCCCCTCACCTCAAAAATGAATCCGGCCGCTGTAAGGAACTGGCTATTGATTTCAAAAGGGACAATCCTGCACCACCACCAGGTGGAGATGGTGTCAAAATACAAATACCTGGAGGTCTATCTGGACAACAAACTGGAGTGGTCACATTGATGCAGTGCACAGGAAGGGCTCGAGCAGACTACTTCCTGGGAAGGCTCAGATCCTTTAACATCTGCAACAAAATGCTTCAGATCTTCTACCAGTCTGTTGCAACGAGCACCATATTTTTTGCTGCAGTGTGCTGGGGCGCAGACATCCAAGCAAAGGACATCAACACAGTGAAGAAAGTCATGAAGAAGGCAGAGTCTGCTGTGGGCTCGCAGCTCGTCATCATGGAGCAGGTGGTTGAGAAAGATTGCTGGACGAACCACAAGAATTCACGGAAAATGCCTCCCACCCCCTCCATAAATCAGTGGACAATCTGAAAAGCAGCTTTAGCAACAGACTAATCTAATCCCGCTGTTTAACGCAACACTGCAGAAAATCCAGCTGCAGTGAGAATATTCAGTTCACCTGACCCTGTGGTACATCTCAGACCTGAGGTCACTGATCTGGACTGAGCCGCCTCATTTTGCTTTGCATTTCACTCTGCTGTATTCTACAACTTTTCTTCTGCTGCTGTGTCTAATCACATTTCACCTCTGATGATTATTAAAGTTATCTATAAATCAATCACTTTTTTAGATTTCCATAATAACATTTCTCCTGGTCAGGATAACATTCTTACTGGTTGGAAATCAAATGGAAGATGTATACAAATTACTTTAATTTACTTTATTTTAAATTACTTTAACTACTTTAATAATAGAAAATACAATTCGGGATAGTTCCATTGTACTAGTAAAAAATAATTTAAAGAAATTGGAAGAAAGACAAAGCCTTCTTAGTTTACACATATCCCAGGAATTCAGAAGATGTGTAAATAGGAGCTCTGATACACAAGTCAGAGAGCGAAAAGCAGGATGAGGATGGGAGAGGGAAGAAAAAGCATCTGTCTTGCTCAAGAGCAAGTGAGGAACAAAAAAGTATCCAGCAGCTTTTAGAGATCAGAATATGGGTTGGGGATCGGTTTCAGCTACAACCACATTGTAGGTCAATAACTGTAAAATTAATTGAGTTATAACCATTTCTGTGTTTTTAGAGAGGTGGCTGCCATCTTTAATTGTGTTAAATACTGCTCCATTAACTCCAGTGTGCTCTTGTCTTCCTCCTGCTGTGTTTATCTGAGGTATTACCACAGCTGGTGTGGGATGCTAAGGGTCGCTTCCCTGGCCCGGACTTCTTGTGTCGCTTGGTGAAATACCTGCAGGTTCTCGGGATGTTTGCCTCTTCCTACATGATTGTTGCCATGACAATGGATCGCCATTATGCTATCTGCTGCCCCCTGAGGGCCCATCGCAGCGGGGCCTCGAAGCGCTGGAATACCTTCATAGTGCAGGCGTGGGGTCTGTCCCTGCTGCTCAGTCTGCCACAGGTAGAACACTCAATTACCACCATCATTACACAACAAAAACAAAATAATTTAACATGCAGAATGACGTGACCACATGGAGTCATGTGAATATTAGGGTTGGGGCCGATCCGATCCAGTATCGGTATCGGCCTCTGATACCAGCAAAATTTACGAATCGGATTTTCCAATCAACCTGCCGTATTTCCGATCCATGCATATCTGTGGTTGCGCTGCATGTTGGCTTCAAACTACGGAATGGATTTCCTGAACGGCGGCGTGTCTCATGAGCCCAGAGTAATAAGACCTGTCTCACATTCAGGAAATCCAGTTCATAGTTTGCAGCAGCTACAAAGGTGAGGACTGAGTTAGCAGCACTGTGGCTAACAGCTAACAAACTTTTCATCTAAACATGTCGCTGTGTGGAAGTGTTTTACACTAAACACCACAAAACAAGACAGCAACGTGCACTGTCTGCAGAGCCACAGCGCCACATTAAACCACGGTAAAGTTAGTTTTACGATGGACATTCGAGCTCCGTGGCTTCAGCGGGGCGCTGCTCTTTGCTCAACCCACAACAGGCGACTCGACCCCGGCCAGCCTCGTCCAATCTGCCCCGCTCAGCCCCTCCGTCTCTGAGGAGGGACAGACTGAGCGCAGCTGACTGAAATCAGGCTGCCTGCTTCGGACTGAACAAGAAGAAGACGTCGCTGAAACCACGGAGCTCTAATGTTTACAGAGAAGTTGCTAAACTTCATCATAATTAATGACCAACCACTATCAGTTGTAGAAAACAAAGGATTTCTCAGTTTGATACTTGCAGCCAAGATCTAGTTTACCCTCCAGGAGATATTTATCAGTACAACAGTAAACAATCATAAAAAACATATGATTTGAAAATTATATTAAAAACAAAAACAGCTACATTATAAAGTGATGTAAAATACTAAAAACAGGAACATGTCTGTTGGTTTATGCCATGATCTTAGCAGGTATTTAAAGCCATTTAACATTTTATTTAATTCATACATTTAAATGAAACATAATAAATAAAAAAAATCATAAAAAAATATATTTAATGAAAAGAGTGCAGGAAGAAGAAAAAAATCTTATATCTGTCCTTATAAAATATAAAATAACTTTAAACAATCACTTAAATTAATCACTTTAATATCCACTTTAAATCTAGGAATAAAAAGAAACATGTTTTAAAGTTAGAATTTAATTCTAACTTTAAAACTTATCCAACATTAATAAAACTTACCTCAAGTTGTCTTTTTGGACATGCATGCATATATTTGTACAAATTGTACTTGAGAGCAGATTATTACAGCCTCATATAAAATCAATGATCATGATATCGGAACTTGATCGGTATCGGTAGAGATTTAGATTTAAGTATCGGGATCGGATCGGAAGTAAAAAAAGTGGATCGGTGCATCTCTAGTGAATATGATTAAAAAAGTGCAGTCAAATGAACTTAAAAAGAAACTAAAGTGGCTCAAAGTCAGTTTTACAGCTAATGAGTTAAAATTTGTTGTGGTTGTATGCAAGAGTCAGTCATGACACATACTCAAATTGCTACAAATTGTGCAAAATCTTTGCTCCACACATTTGCACAAATCTTGGAGTCAACCTCGTTTGTCAGCAAAATATCTCAAAGTACTCGGCATATTTCATGAAACTTCTAGAAAGTAATCATTGAATGAACATTTGCAACCGACTATCTTTTGGTATTGATACAAATCAAGGTGGTCGCCACAAGCTAACTGACATTAGCCAACACAAAAAGGCTCCAACTAAGTGAATTTAATTATGCAGCTAAAACTTGAATTGGTAGTAGCTGACAGTCATTCACAACACGTACTCTGAGCATGAGATGTCACTATATCGTATGAGATTTTGCTTAAACCAGTGGTGGGATGTAACTAAGTACAAGTACTTCATTACTGTACTTAAGTAGAGTTAAACGTGGGTACTTTGGACTTTTACTCCACTGCATTTTACATCAAGTATCTGTACTTTCTACTACACTACATTTTTGTAATGCGTTGTCATTCATGTTGCAGTATTTTGATTTATTCATTAGTTTGAAAGTAACCAATGGTGAGAGGGGAGCTGGTTCATTGAATCACTGCAAAGTGGGCAGGTAACATTAGGCCCCGCCTTCAAGAAGAGCTGGACCACTAACGTATATTCTAGAATATATGTCACTGAGCTGGGTGCACCTGCAGCACCGCTAACACACTCAAAATGTATTCCACCGCAAGAGAGTCAGCCAGAAGATACATGCCACCCATGACCTTATTGAAAGACTGTTCATTACAGCAGGACAGATTCTCTCAAAAGATCCAGACTGGACTCAAAGAATCTTTGAAAACCAACTTCTTCTGAACTTGAACAAGAAATTATTGCTGCAATATTAAAATGTGTCAGTTCATGATGTTAGGAGACAAGACATGTCTCCAAATGGTTCGACACTCAGGTCCAAGTTTTAAAAATGGTGTCAGGAAGTTAAAATATTGTTCAATATTGACCCATTACAAGGTTGAATAGACATATTTTAACTAGAGTTGATGACAAACTGGAGTTGAACTGATCAGAGCCTGTTCCTTTGTTAGTTGTGTCTAATGCTCATTTTGTTCAGGCAGACAACTTTTACTGAAGTTTTACTGCAGTTAAAATGACACGTTGGTTTTGATTTGTGTTAAATAAAAACTTTCAAAGGTAAAATCATTCCTCTTTCTTATTTTGATTAATGACATTTAACTCTGCAGGTCATCCCTGAAATTCTGACTCAGAATCACAAGTCCAAGTGTGAAATGTGTCACAGAGTAAACTCAATAAAAACTTGTATTATCTGCAACATTGTTCATTAAAATGAAACAACACTATTAATGTATTACAGAAAATATACATAGGTAGGTACATTTAATGATATTGTAGACCATTGCATTAGGTAATACATTCAGCAAGTACTTTTACTTTTAATACTTTAAGTATTTTTAAAAGCAAGTACTTATTTAGTTTTACTTAACTTTTTTTTTCCTCTCTGTCCTCCGGTGAAGCCAGACGTGTCTCCCTGGGCTGTTTTTCCTCATATATGGGAACGTGCTTCACTTGTGGAAGTCACGTTTTCATGACTTAAATATCTTTACCTTTCCCCACAAATGGTTGCAGGTCTTCATCTTCTCCCGCTCACAAGTGGCTCCGGGGGTGTACGAATGTTGGGGAACCTTTGCAGAGTCCTGGGGTCTTAAAGCCTATGTGACATGGATGACCCTGGCTGTCTTCATCATCCCTCTCCTCATCATTACTGTTTGTCAGGTACAGAGGGATGAACCATGGCTGAACAGGTGGGAAACATTAATGCAGTGCTATCGTCATGGAAATGCTCGTTTCTTCTCAGGTACGCATCTACATGGAAATTTATCATAATCTGTACCAGAAATCAGGGTGCCGCCTGTACAGACAAGACAACCAGAGCAGAAGAGGTGGAGGGGGGCCCTCTGTACCCGTTTATGTTTGCCCCTTCACAATCCACCACCCCGAGAGTCACAACAACTTGGATACTGGATCCACCGACCAGAACCTGCCAATGAGTCCACTCAGGTCCAGTAGGATCAGACCACAGTATGAAACTGACACCTGCAGCACTGGTGAGACAGACTTTAGTGTTTTGATGGGTTTACCTCCTCCTGTGAAGTAGACAAAATATAATGTACCCAAACTCAGATTCACACGTTGAGCTTTGCATTGGACCTGTCCAGGGTGCACCCAGCCTCGTTTTGCACAGTGTGATCCTGAAAGGAACACGCTGGTAAAGGAAATGGATGAACTTTCCATTTTAAACACTTGTCAGACACCATCTTAGCACCAACGCTAAGATGGTTTGTTCCACTTTGGAGTAAGCTGTTGGGGGAGAATCAGTTTTGTGTTGTTTCCTTGACTGATGAAGCTTCTGGATGGAAGGTGAAACGTTTCAGCACAAAAAAAGAAACTGTCCAGATGACCTGACTGAACATTTTTGGACTTGTCAGTGTTAATGTGTTTAAAGCTGTCCAGGCCTCCTTGTACTGGTTTAGTAAGTGGTCTTTAAAATGTACTCTTGACTTTCAGCATTATGTTTCACAGTCCAGCAACATGAAATACTACACCAGAATTATTTAACACTTAATCCTGTTGGGTGCAGCATGGTGGAGCAGTGGTTAGAGCTGTAGACAAAGTCGCAAACATATTTTTTGTTTTGTAAACTACTGCATTTTTGTAGTATTTTAACTAGGGATGGGTCTGATTCGAACCAATATCAGTATCGGCATCCGATACAAGCACAATTTACGTATCGGATTTTTCCAATCCAACCTACAGAGCTTTCCGATCCATGATGCATGTTGGCTTCAAACTATGAAATGGATTTCCTAAATGGAGGCGTGTCTCATGAACCCAGAGTGATAATATAATAATGGTAATCAATGGATTTAACACCTATCACTGTAATCATCAAAAAAGGGGTGGAGTCGCTCTTTACATCAGAGATTCTCTGGTTTCTAGTCTTGTGTCTGCTCAAACAATTCCAAACCAGTTTGATGCCTTAGCCGTAAACATCACTTTGAATGGAGGCCAGATCTTATATGTAGTAGGTTGTCATCGTCCCCCCTCAGCAACACCCGAGGCTCTGTCCTCCCTGATGGAATTCCTTCGAACTTTAAAATTCAAAGAGTTTTTTTGGCAGGAGATTTCAACATTGACTGGGATAAGTAAACCCCCCTCTGTGATAAATCCAAGGAATGTTGCCTGTCACTCAGTCTAACCCAAATGATCAACTCTCCCACTAGACCAAACAAAAACCATCCTGAAAAATCTTCCATCTTTGACATATTTCTAACAAATATGACTCACAAATTCCCTGGTACAGGTGTGTCACGATATTTTTGGACTGGTCCTATGGTTTGGAGCTGCTCAGAGATGGGATTATAATGAAATTATGGCCCGGTTATGTCTGGGTTAAACTGGGCCAGCAACTCTAAAGAGAGTCTCCCTGGGATTTTAATATCGGTCAAGGAATAGTTTAATCTGCTTGCCACATCACGTAGAAGGCTTTTGAAGCACTGTCTCATATTTCCTAACACGTCAGACCCACATAATATCCACTGAAATCACACTTAGTCACGCCCCCTCATACACTGATAGGTTGAGCTCCCCTTCTGCGAAGGCGGAGTCTAGGACCCTATAAATGAGTAATGACATGGGACATCGGGGCTCTTCCGGGTTTGGAGAACGTGTCATAGACCGGAGAGTCCAGTGCGGTGAAACTGTAACTTTTTCCTGCCTTGACTTAATACAATTGGTAAAACTGAATTGACGTTTTCCTTGATTTATTGGTAGTATGAGTTGCCACTTCTGAGGGAGGTCTGAGCCGGGGGAAAAAGACGTGGGCAGGAGGTGGTTTCCGGGTCCGGTGGTCCGCAGCCAGCTCCCGTCTTTAACAGGTGTATTCACTGACATTTTGAGTGATCACTGTGTAATAAGCAGCTCTCAGAGACATTAAACTTCCACCTTCTAAGCCCAGATTAATTTAAAAAAGGGATCTGAAATGCTTTTGCGAACAGTCATTTCTCTGGGATCTATCCCACTTTGACTGGCATCATATTCTATTAACTGATGACGTGAACTCTGCTTGGAACTATTTTCATAATAGTTTCATTTATTTTGTGAACAAGCATGCTCCTTTTCGTCAGTTCAGAATAAAGGGACGAGACAGCCCCTGGTTGACTCCAGAGCTAGCTGACCTCCTGCACAGGAGAGATCATCTTTGGGCCGCAGCGAGAAAATCTGACTCAGACACTGATTGGTTGAGTTTTCGGCAGATGAGGAATAAATGTACAACTGCTGTCAAAGCAGCAAAACGTAACTATTTCTTATCTTAGACCTCCAAAAATCTAAATGACCCTAACAGATTCTGGAAAACTATTAAAGCTCTCTCAGGCACCCCCCAATCATCTGACCTCCCATCACAACTTCTCGTTAACTCTGTTCCTGTGTCAAATAAGCACGAGATCCTGAACTGTTTCAACAAACATTTTGTTGCTTCTGGTTCTTTATTTGACACAGTTACTAACAGAAAATCAGCCACTTCACTTAATAACCAAACTTCTACAAATCAAATCCCTCCTACAAGTCAATCCTCAGTTAATCACACCTTCTCCTTTTCTCCATTCTCAGTCAGTGAGGTCAATAAACTGTTAAAAGATCTTGATCCTAAAAAAAATCTGCAGGTCCAGCTGAACTTCCACCCTATTTCTTAAGGCTGGCTGCTCATATCATCACAGTCCCTGTGACCCACATCTTCAATCTCTCCATGAGACAAAACTCCATCCAGACTCTTGAAAACAGCCTTTGTTCTTCCTTTGCTGAAAGAAGGTGACCCCCCCTCACTGAACAACTATGGACCAATCTCTAAACTCTGCATTTTAGCCAAGGTTCTAGAAAAACTGATAAACTCTCAAATCAAAAATGACCTGGACTCATTTAACATCTTACCTCCACATCAATCTGGTTTCAGGAAACAACACAGCACAACCACTGCTTCACTGAAGGTTCTTAATGACGTTGTTGAAGCACTGGATGCTAAAGATTATTGTGCTGCACTTTTCTTAGACCTGTCTAAAGCTCGTCTAAAGCGGAAAAGAGGATCTAGAGCCGGTGTCCTGGTTCGTCTGAGGCTGTATCAGACGTTTTATTGGGAAGCGGGGAGACCCTCGCTGTCTATGAACTGTTTCATCTAATTGGGAGTTTGACACGTCACCTGAAACCTGGCCAGTGTGGACCTCTACCTGCCTGTCTTCTGTATATTATTCAACCTGCTTGGATGAAGTTCATCATGCTCACCATCAGGTACCTCCTCGTCGTAATCGTTCTTCTGATGTGATCAACCTAATCTGTGTGCCGCTATTAGCGGATATGGGAGCTGCTGAAATGTCATCGTTGCACATGGCCCTCTTCAACGCACGCTCTATCAGCAACAAGTGTTTTGTCTTGAATGAATTGATTACGAAGGAGTCCCTTGATTTCATGTTTTTAACTGAAACTTGGCAACGAAGCTTGGATCTCATTCATCTGCGGGAACTCTGTCCAGGTAACTGTGCCGTTCTTGCAACACCCCGTGAAGCGCGTAGAGGTGGTGGACTAGCAGCCGTGTTCAAGGACTGTTTTTCCTGCAGACTTGTAAATCCAGCCCCATTCTCTACATTTGAGCAGCAAATAATTAAAGCTGGCTCTTTGAAAATATTTTACTGTATTTTAGTTTATAGACCTCCAGGTTCAGCTAGTGTATTTTTATCTGAATTCACTGATTTTCTGTCCTCCATTATTAAGTTGGAGAAAGTTATAATTTTGGGTGATTTTAATTTTCACATTGATGATGTTACCTGTAAGGCAGCAGCAGACTTTATATCCATCACAGACTCTTTTCACTTTACTCAGCATGTGAGTGCCCCCACTCATCATAAAGGCCATACATTGGACCTTGTTTTCTCTTTAGGCCTGGATGTGGAAGATGTTCGTGTGGAGGATATATTTTTAAGTGATCACAAATGTATTTATTTTAATGTGTCCTTCTGTCCTGATCCAGCTCCTTCTTGCCTTTTGAGACAGAGGCGGATTATCTCTGAACACACTTCTGATGCTTTTATTGCTCTATTTGATTCCGCCTCTTTGGATTATGACATCATGAATGGAGATTCAGTGGTTTCCTGTTTTAACACTCACTGTATGGAAATATTGAACATTATAGCACCATTGAAACAAAGCACTGTCCAACGCACTAGCTGTCCGTGGATCAACAATGAAATCCTTAGTTTGAGGAGAACATGTCGGAAAACTGAACGTCTGTGGAAACGTACTGGATTGGTGGTTCATAGACTACATCTTTAAGATCTGATCAGCTCTCTAAATGAGATGCTCAAGACTGCCAGAGCTCGTTATTTTACTAATCTCATCAATTCCAAAGGACGTAATCCAAAAACTTTATTTGATACAATCAAGAACATTGTCTCTCCAGCATTCTCGTCTCAAAGTGCTTTTACGTATGCAGATTGCAATCGGTTTTTAAATTATTTTATTGATAAAGTTTCCAGCATTAGGGCCAGTATTTGTCCTTCATCTTCCCTTCTACTGGCTCCTTTGTCACTGACCCCTGATAAGTGGTCCTTTTTTACCCCAGTTTCAATTAAGGACATCTCAGATTTAATGGGTCATATGACACTCTCATCGAGTCCCCTTGATGTCCTTCCTACGTCGCTTTTTAAAGATATTTTTACCTGTATTGGCCCCAGTGTTGTACAAGTGATAAATTCCTCTCTTTGTTCTGGCACTGTCCCACACTATTTTAAAACTGCTATTGTCTGTCTTTTGCTAATAAAGCCAAACTTGGATTCTTCATTGCCTGAAAACTACAGACCTATCTCCAAACTTCCCTTTCTATCAAAGATCCTGGAGAAGATATCCTGATGCATGCTCAATAATCCAGGTGGAAAAATCTAAAAAAGTTCAATCTGGTCCTCTGGACATTCAAAAAAAACCAAAACAAAGCAAAACAACAAAAAATATAGAAACGTTTCGTCTCCCGTCCGAGAGACTTCCTCAGTCTGAGGTGCTGTAT